ATGGGATGTAGTGCACTCACATTTAAGTCAGCTGCACCCCTGCTCTGTAAATTATTTTCAATATAATTATCACAAATGTATAATCTGGTGAAACATGGATTTTGTATATTACTTTAGATTTGTATTTGATAGAAATACACAGTCTCATAAGCACGTTGGAGATAAACAAGCCAATTTTTGAGATCATCATTTGTTCTTAAATTAACGTTCTAATAAAAAAATGTCTAAAATGTTTTTTAGATTTTGTTATAATTAGATGTGTTAATGCATTTAAAAAAAAAAAAAAAAAGAAAGAAAGAAAAGTAAAATGCTACACAATCCAGTGCCAGGACGACCCATTACAACTGAATACTCCCATGGTGAATACATCAAACCTGATGACTTTTGTTTAATCGGATGCTTGCCTTAGAGAAGCTTGTGGCCACATAGCACATGCACAGCAATCAACTTGCTTCTCATTGAATCTCTGTCTATGGCTATATGTTTGTAATTTCCAGGTCTACTTTTGGCTGTCAAACAGTAAACTGTGCAGTTTCTCAGAAATTCACAGTTTTAGTTTGCAAGACTGTACGGTGACATATATGCCCCCAAATCCCTTATTTAAGATTAAGTGATTCTGGTGATTAGACCATCCCTTAACACCTTAAAGCATGACACACAAATAACATTTCCCTTTACTAATTATTTGGTAAAGTTCAAGATTAGGGATCACAATTGGGGGGCATGGTTATAGGACTAGTTTGTTCTGGCTGAAACCTCATCGTTAAAGTGGAATGTGCCAGGTTTTAATATTATATTATATATTATTTGAAATTACAACAAATAGGACCTTACTCTTCCTTTATTCATTAATATATATTTTTAAGATCAAGTTATGTAAATATTAGAAAGTGAAAAGATGTGTTCATTTCACTCCTATCTGAATATTTACAGTTCAGAGTTTCTGCTATACCTACGTTAGTGATTTGGAATTAATATTTATTGGACACCTGTGCTAAAGCAGTGATATGCTCAAACCTATACCATCAGTAAATGGATCATTTGGAAAGAATAGAATAATAATCGGGTTGACAACACACAAAAACCCCACAATAAAATCAGGACAGAACAAATAGGCCACTAAGCCTGATTTTATCACAAGACAAGGAGGCTCATATTGCATATCCCTTTCTTTACTGTCCACCAATAGCAGCAAAGGATACAAACAGAATGAAAAAACAATGAACATACAGTAGCATAGGCCCCTCCCTGCACAGGTTCCAGTATAATAGGCAGCACTTCCCTTCCATTTGCCTCTTTCTTTGCTGCTCCAAAGATAAGTAATAGCTCACATTTTTTCTCTCACATATTACTTATTATCCTGAGATCTATTGTCTTGATTTTTACTATTTAGTGTCATTTATTACTCCATTGTTTATTCTCTGTTGATATATTCAGTATTATTCAGTTTTCTGTTCTTTTTTTTTTTTTCTTCGTTTATTATATATGTTTGCTCATTACTATATATGTATATTTATTGCCTCCCAGGGTTCCAGACCTTCTCTGTGAGATAACTGATTCTCTCTGGTTGCTCTGATCTCCTTTCAGTCTCTTATACCCTTCTCTGTCTCTCCCTGTACTTTGACGCCATTTGCACCTCGTTTTTCTCTGTTCTGTTCGGCTGTTTTGGTGCATGAATCTCGCCGTTCGGCTAAATTCATCACGAACACATGCCTTTCGTTAGTTTTACCGGAATATAGCATCATTCGCCTATATGCCGCGTTCGACTAATTTGGTTTGTGCGTTTTGCTCATTCGTATGTTTCTCCATTCACTTGTTCTATTCACACGAATTCGTCTATTTTACCGAACGTTCGGATATTTACTTGACAAATTCTCAGGTTTTTGCCGCGAATCTCACGAGATTCTCGGCGGCCACTTTCTGACTTCCTGTCTGTCTTCCTACCTCGTTGTGTGTGTCACTGGTCTGGGCCCTGGTGAGATCTCTTTTGTTCATTGCTCTTATAGTTTGGGTGACTAACCTTTACTACTCTATAGTCTTAGGTAACAGGGATATTGTACATCTTTCATTATGCCCAAACCCAGGATGCCTTCCAGCTCCCTACCCTCTGGGGAGATAGATACTCCATTATTCATGGGAGAGGCCCCTGTCACCCCAGACATACCACCCACTCTGACAGACAGGCCCATCCACCCTGCATGGGACTCATGTTTATGTAGGGGGCAGACTAACATTTTTTCCCAGCCTGGGCACAGATAACTTCCAACCCCTGGGTACTAAGCACTATTTGCGGTTTTCACATAGACCTTGTGGGGAACCCTGTAAGTATCCCTCCTCCTCGACAATCTGCTTCTCCCTCCGAGATCGCTGGTCGATCGACGACGAGCTATCTGCGCTCCTCACCGAGAGAGCGATAGAATGGGCACCCCCGGGCTCCACAGGAGTCGTAAGCAATATTTTCCTACTGGAAAATAAGGGCGGCCAAAGGCGCCCAGTCATA